CATAGCAGATTCTACGATGATTGTGCTCTGGTCGCCTGGTGTAGTTGCAAGACTCCTCGGACTCCAGCGTTGGCTTTCAGATAAAGAGTCTTGGTAGGGGTACGAACCTTCTCTGGAGAACCTGCTGAGGTGGACGTGGCCTCCGCTTCGGCTGCCTGCTGCTGCTGCTTCTGCTCTGGCGCTTCGGGGCTCTGGTCTTCGGCTGGGAAGAGCTGCGGCCGCAGTGGCAAACCCAACTCGGAACATCTAGCCCGGAAGCTCTGGACGGCGTCCTTGTCGGTCAGCAAGCGATAGAGAACTCCCGTGTTTTGGCAGCCTAGAGTCAGAATGCAAACGAGCACGAGCCTCCCACATAGCCTTTGTGAGCACTAGGTCCCCCAAAGAGCGTCCATGCTGAATGCACGCATCCACGAACTCGATCTTGCCCTGGATTTTTTTCCGAAGCACGTCTCGAGATTCCGGCTGGGTCCTGGCAGGACAGGTAACTGGTTGCCATCGGATAGGAGGCAGCATGCAGTGCCAGACAGCACGCTCAGAACAGGCCCAGGCACTGGGTCAGCTCGCGTATCCTTTCTTGGAACCACGTTCTCTCCGCCATTCCTGAGATCGCCAGGGATAAGGAATGCATTCCGCGTGACAGCTCGGCTGCTGCATGCAGTGCGTGCGTGCTCGTGGTCCGTGCACGTGCCGGCGACAAAATTTTGAGCTAGCACGCACTTTCTGGAATCGAGGCAGCACGCGGTTATTTTAGGGATGCTTCGAGGCATTCGGGTTTAGGCACTCGCGGTCGGGTTCTAAAATAATTGCATGCTGCCTCAATATTTTGCCGTCGGCACGTCGCGGTACCAGCGGTCGGGTTTTTTTTAAGCTAGCACGTTGCCGCAGCAGATGGAACGCACCCTGCAGACAGCACGTAAGGTGTACCCACGAGAGAGCCAGCACGTTGAAACCATCATGTGAAGCGAGGCAGCACGTACAGAACCGCCCAAAGACCCCAGGACCCCGTTTGTAATTGTAATTTGATCAAAAAGAACCCAGCCCGATTTCGGCCCCGTGAAATCTGGTGGGACCGCAACCATCTAGTCTCTGGAAATTAACCTGAAGTCCTTGGACCTGAAAGGACAGCTTGCCTACAGTGTGTTTTGTGCAGCCCAAAGCGAGACAATCCCGGATGGCAGCAGATATGCCAAGCCTCCCCAAAACCTCACACTGCCTTCAGCCCAGGCTCACCCCAGCGACGAAGAGGATCCCGTGCGTGCGTCCGTTGGCAAGCACAGGGAAAAGCATGGAGGGTCGAAACTGCTAGGTTGCTACATTAAGAATGACACACATACTCAGTATTTGTGCTAGTCTTGTTGTCTTCAAGGCTATGGAACACTGCTTCACGGGATTGGGGTCTTGAAGAGCAGAAGGTTGGGACTTTAGGAATTTAGCCATAGTACCTCTACCTCTCGAGGATTGGTTTTCAGCCAAGCTAAGTTAGTTATGACAAACTTAAACGAACCCTAAGCCTTCTAGGAAACCCTAGTCTAGTTAGAAGACTGAATAACCTGGTGCCCGAGCACAACTCAGAAAAGCCTCGGAACTTAGTTTGAAGCTACAAGATGTTGCCAACCATCATGGGTAGGTGCTTAGGGTTTAGGGTTTAGGTATTAGATATGATCTACAGAAAAGCAACCTTGCCCTCCTGTATTCGAGCAACACATGGATTCCAATCAAACCTCAGCGACCTCCATGCACAGCCTCCTATGTGAATGGTCGCAGAGGCTCCGAAGTGAGTGATGTTTCTGACTTGTCCCCCAGCACAGGCTCATGATGCCGAAGGAAGCTTCAGAAACAACATGTACAGCTGCTTCCTTCAAGGCCCTGAGATCTCATCAGTGACACATCAGAGGCCGAACCATCAATATCACACCTTCATCGAGGTCTCCACTACTCAGTATTGCCAGCATCTGGAAGATCCTTTGAATTCGGGGTGGCCTTCCGGAGAGTCACAGCACAAAGCCCTAGAACAATGAAGTTCGAAAGCTGCCAGCAAAAACAGCACCGAAAGCCTGCAAGGCAAGAACCTTCTTCTGCCAGGCAGAAAGCAGCCGCTTGCCACGGAGACTCATGCGCTTGTACTCCTGCTCAGACTCTCCCAAGTGGTCCGAGAGGTCGCCTGCCAGCAAAGATTGCTCCGTTTCGGGGTTCAGGGTTGTGAGTGCTAACTACTTATTTAGGGCATCGGGGTTTTTATCCTATAGCTTCCGGGTTGTACTAGGCTTTCAAGTTGTTGTCGTCTTTGGGCATTGCGACTCATGGGCGGTCATGTGACTTTCCCAAGTACCAAGGGGTCTCCAGCCAAAGCATGTCAATGCTGGGTTTGGGGTCTTCGGGTTTAGTCCTTGCTACCAGACGTGCCTTCAAGTTGGCACACATCCATGGCTGTGAGGAGCGAATGAATCTCTTCCTTGTTCAAAATCTGCATAAAGCAGACAAAGTCCGACCTGCAGGCCGCAACCAGGATTGGCTTAGGGCCTTAGGCTTGGGGATTAAAATGTAGGGTTGGGGGTTCAGGGCTAGGGTTGGTTCGATGGATGCTGACGACACTAATCAAGAGCCTCGAGAAATCTTCAGGGAATGTCTTCATCAAGCCAGGCTCGAAGGAATCTGCCAGCTTCTGCTGCTTGGGTGTGAGGTTGTCCAAGAGCCCAAGGCCCTTTGACTTGGCAGGGGTCTGGCAATTGAAAGGGCCCGCGAAAAGGTCTGCGTCTTCGTCGTCGTCGTCCTCGTCGTCGTCGTCGTCGTCGTCGTCGTCACCGTCTTCGCCGTCCTTGGCATGCCTGCCCGAGCCCCTAGTCTTGGGTTTGGACCCCGTGTCCTCCTCAGCCTCTTCCTGGGATTCCTCCTCTTCTGGGGAAGCAGGGGGCTTCAGACCCCCCCGCTTCATTCTGTTGTGCCGTGCAGGCTCCTCCGGCACGGCCTTTCGCTTCGACTCATTGCCGAGCAAGCAGTCTTGCAGCTCCTTGCTGGCTTCCTGGCAGAAGATAGTCTGACCTAGAAACCCTAGCAACGAAAGTCTAGCTTTGGAGTAGCATGCCAAATTTTGCACACATCGACAGTTCATCCCCAAACCGCAATGAATTCTCAATTAATAGGAGGCCTGGGAAAGCTTCTGGACAGTGTCTGTCAGAATCTTCTCGAAGTTGCGGCTGTTCCAGCTCTGCTTCCTCGGATTGTCTGGGATTTGTGAAAAAGACTCGGTTCAGGGATTGATCCAAGCTTCTGGAAGAGACTGAACTCAAATCAAAGCATATGAGCTGCATGTGAAACCAATAAATTTCAGCCTCGTTTCTTGCAGTGGCGACGAACATAGGCACGGAGGTTCAGGCAAGCATCGCCTAGCGTCTGGCAATTCGTGAGCGGCAGAGCATTGAGCTGCTTCCCAGTGCCTCGGCATAAACAGAAAAAACCTTGCTGTAGTAGACTCTGTGGAAAAAAAAGAAAACCCACAGAGCACGTGCCATTGACCACAGAGCACGTGCCATTGCAGGACAACTATTTCTGCAGCCCACACAGAGCAGTCTGAAGTCACCGATCATAAGCCCTTTCAGAGACAATCAGTCCAACACATCTAAGCCTTTTGGCCCTGACCGTCTAGTGTACAGAAGCAGCCACTCGCGAATGCGATCCCAACACAACGGTTTCATGTCCGCAGAGATTGGGTGGAGCAGCAGAAAGTCAAGCACGTAATGCATGACCTTTATGTTTCTCTCAGTCATCATAGGCAGAGTGAGCCCGCAGTACAGCAGGTGTCGTCTCGCATAGCCTGTAGCAACCCACTCGGGCGATGACAGGGATGCCAACCTGAGCGTCGTTAGGCTGTCAATCGCCATAACAAAGAGGTCTTCTTCCTCAACCGGTGTTTGGCAGCAAGTGTAAGCCTCTTTCAAGGCTTCCCTAAGACACTCCAGATGACAATCCAGGTAGTTAGCGGCCCCGTCCTGTCCCAACTTGTTGATAAGGTCGTGTCGAGCAGCGAGAAGCCAAGCAGTGTAATCAGGAACCATCTTGTTGCTAGACTTCACCATATCTAGGGGCGGACTCGGGAGGCTACTTGATGACTGGAGTATGTAAAACGGCTCGAACACAATCAGCAAGGTGAGGCAACGACCGTAAGCGGACACACAAACCCCGGAAGCAGTCTCGATTGCCACCTAAGGTACACAGCTGCACCACTGTGGCCATGCGTTTGCGCCACTGCGTGGCGGCCAGGCCTGCGTGCACAGGACTGCAACAGACATACGAACTAGAGTGGCAGAAATACTGCTGTTCCAGAGCAAAAGGAGCAACTACTTCCGTCTAGTCTAAGAAGACCAAGAAGGCCTTCACAGAAGCTTCGTTCTCTTCCTCCCGCTGCTTGGTTTTGCGTGCTCTCTGTAGGCGGTCCACCTGGTGACTTTCCTCGGGACAGTGTTGCTTTTGCAAGCATGCTTGGACAGCTTTGGGATAGGTTTAGGATTTAGGGGGTGGGGGTTTCAGATTGCTCTTGCCAATGAATGACTGGGAAATCCTAAAAACTGGGAAACAAAACTGTGTGTTAAAGAGCAATGACGACCTTTGCAGCTTCAGAGAGAAAGTGTTGAACGAGAAAGAGGAAGAGAGGAGAGAGAGATATAGGAGAGAGTCGGAGGGAGAGTAATCGGCTTCACCTCTCTTTCTCTAGGAACCCTTTTAACTTTTCCTTTCCCGCACCCTCTCCCGGTGTACTTCATAGCAATAATATCATCATACGACCTCTCCGCTATCTCTCTCTCTCTCTATATATATATACATATCTCGCTCGCGCTCTCTCTCTCTCTCTCTCTCTCTCGCTCTCTCCCTCCCTATCTCCCTTTTCTCTCTCTACCCATCGTCCTCTTAGCAGAGACAAGATTCCAACTGCCCACCAAGATCTAGTACATCAGCCGCCGGTAGAGCCGAAGTGCAACCACTGACCACATAGGCTAGCTGGCGGGCTGAGAGGTCGTCTAGGCGAGTCACAGAAGCACCCCGAAGCAGGTCCTTCTGCCGCAAACCGAAAAGGGAAGCAGCCTCAGCTAACATGTCATCGGAGGCAACCTCGTCCGATGCCTCCTGCTGCGAGCTGTCGCTGCTGGAGCTCTCCGAGGTGCCTGGGCCGCCAATAGGGCTAAGTTGAAGTCGAACAAAGCAAAACCGACTTAGGTCACCAAATTACATAGAGTATTTATCACATAGTGAATAAGTAAGACTAAAGGCTCTTCTTCTTCTTTTTCTTTGACTTCTTCTTGTCTTTGTCCTTCTCATCCTTCTTGCTTTTCGCTTCTTTCTTGCTCTTCTTGAGGTTCCTCGTGTCTTTGTCCGTAGGCGTCTCCACAGCTCCTGCCATAGATTAGGGGTCAACTAGGATGCACCTATAGCGGGGGGCAGAGGTCCTTCAAGAACGTTCTCGAGGCTTTTGCGAGCCGTTGTCAGGAGGAAGTGCTTGGGATCCGGGGTACCGCTCTCTTCTTTCCCAGAGGCGGGAAGGCTCTTCGAAGAGAGGCTCCTGCCGTGTTCTGATGAAGAGATTCCCAAATCTAGCAGCCAAAAGCCTGGTTACCGGATAGCCATGAAGAGAGCAGAAGTCCTTGGCAGCCGTTTCCCAGCTGCTTTCTTCGACATCACACCAGCACGGATCCGCCGGCGGATCTGGCTGCCCTCCCCTCGAGCACCCAGCACTCCAAACAAAAGAGCCTGAATGTAAGTCCGAAGCGAAGAACAACAATGTAGGATTTTGTTCAAGGTTTGGGGCTTACAATGTACTATGGATTATTTCAGGATGTTGAAGGATTTTGTTGTTGCCGTTTCTAACTACTCTTCTGTATGCCAATCAAAAAGTGAACAATGACAAAACATAATCGGGAAAGCATGGCAACCGTGTCTCAGAAGCAGGACTCCGCCAAGACCGAAGCCCAACCCAGATGCTAGGAGGACCCATTTGGTAACACATCACAAGAGCCCAAACGAACCCTGAATCCAAGGCACCTGCTGCTCTGCGAGCAGCTGCAACGACTGAGTGCGGCAGCAGACACGAGCATTTTACTGCAATCCTAGGCAGATCGCTGCTTCTAGACTAGATGAATAAAGCCAGAGCCCCTGTGCTGAATTGTGCAACAGGCACGAAGCAGGATCGACTGGTGTGTTGGATTGTCTATCTATTATTCCTCTTTTAGTGTAAATATCCAGCACGGTTCCCAAGCACACCTAATTGATTGGGCTCAGGCCACTGTGGCGAAGGGTGCTTTTATGCCAAATGCTATTAGCCAGCCTAGCGGTAGAACACCAAGCCGCTAAGCCCCTCCTAACAGACAGAGGCTGTAATTCAACACCCGAAACCACAACGTCTGTAACCCCAGCTGCAGTGTACAGCGCAGATCCACTCACCTGAATTTCCACATTGCTGGCCTTGGTAGACTCAGTACATCTCAGGAAAACACCGGAAGTAGAGCCACAGTGACACTATGGTGACAGCCGCTGAGGGCAGCGACAAAAAGATGGCCGGGTAGACAGGCTGTCGCCGCCACAAACAATGGTTCCTGCGAAGCTACTCGCGTCTAGAGGCACCGCTTCAGTTGAATAATTTCATATGGATAAAGCACAGCCTTTTGTTTCATTCTAGCACCAAAGGGTTATTATATGCAATCTGCTTTCCTACAATAGGACCCGACCTGGCCCCGACGGGAAGGACTCTAACCTAAGCCAGAAATTGAAGAACTTTATGTGAAGACTGCGCAACCCTTGCAAGAGGTACTCCAAATTGAGATTCTGAATGCTCTTCGTAGCCGAGGTGCAATCGGAAGTCGGAATCGACCAATATATAAACTGCTCCTCGGATTAGGTTTCCAGGATACAATGAATACAAGTACTGGAAGTACTCGTTTGTGTACGAGGGTGTGAGGGTTTCAAGCTTAGGGTTTATTTAGGGTTTAGTATGTAATAATTGTTGTCTTTTTGGGAGTATTTATGCAAGGTTGCTAGGTACATGGCTTCGCATCTCCACGAGCGCGCACGGCTGCCAAGACTACAGGAGTTCAGGTATGAACGTATGATACAGATAACACAAATAGTCTTCAGAATTCAAGCTGGCAGCAATCATCCTGGGAGAAACAAGCATGAGGAAGCAGCCCATATCCCGGATTCAAAAATCTCCAATTTCACAGCTACAACTACATCTTGCTTGTTGCACTTGTGTGCTTCCTGGAGCATAAGTTCATTATCATGAATGGAATCAACCAAAGCACACAACGAAAGCACTGTGCGTGGTCATTCCACACACATAGCGTAGCATTGCCTGGCATTGCCATCCTTAGTTGCCACATTCTTTTGCTGCAGTCGCCTGACACCATGAAATCGTCAGTTTGGCCAAGTGACCCGAAAAACGCAGACGAGCAATAATAATCGATCAAGCATCACGGTGCCATCAGCCACCTAGAACCTCCCACTCCTGCGAAAGACATACAATGATGACCACAGGCAAAATGGAACTTGACATTGCGCTGGGTTCACAGACAGGTTCATAGAGGCCGGTCCTGGCCCGCAGCATCCACGAAGTTGGCCGTCGCCGCCGCAATCTCAGCAAACCCAGAATCCGCCCCAACACCCTCCACAATCAAAGAAGCACATGTACTCGAGGAAATGAAGGCAGCACAAGATACCCGCCACAAAAGAGAAACCAAGCAACACAATGCAGCCCTGGCACAGCAGGAGTCGGCGGCCCAACCGGTCGGCAGACGAAGAGGTCCTCTTCCTCCAACCCAATGAGAGTATGAAGTGGAGCAGCATCGAAAACAAAAGGCACAACAAGCGACCACGAAGAAACCTCGCCTTCAGCTGCAAAGTTTGTCGTCTGCATGTTGAATACGGATTTCCCTGAAGACGAAGCATCATGAAGCATTCGTCGATGTCCTGGGCGTGAATCACTGCAGACAACTTCCTCTTTCTATGTATCAACCCATCCCGGGCCTGAGTCATGAGATCACGAGCAAGCTCATCGAGCAGTCTGCTAAGGTTCGCGGACATTAGTGCGTCCACGGACCGTCCGTGGCGCATGAGCACGATCTCACAAACCTGACAGTGAATCACTGAAGCTCACTTCTGAAAAAGAACAGACATCAACCACCAGCAGGCGCAGATCAGTAAGCCAAGTGGCACAATAAGTGAAGGTGCCGGTGTGCTCGCCATGATAACTCGACATCGACGGCAAACCGCCGGATCGGCGGTTGGCCAGTGGAGGGTACCTGAGACCGGTGATGGGCAAGACACCATGATCTGATTGAGGACTTTTGTCCTAATGAATTGCAAACGAGCATCATATGCATAAGTCTTCCAGCGACATGTCTCACTGCCTTGATGACAAACTTGTCGCTTCCCCACAGACTTGTCATTTCCCTCGGTTCCATGAATGTTCACTCACCGAGCACAAACACACACATCTCTTCACCAAATGCTATTCCCAGCTGCTGTTTGCGGCAACAGAATGCTGACATCGGGAAGCAGCATCGGACAAAGTGGAGGCGGCGAGCCGCCTCCTGCTTCAAGTCAATGAATGTGTCATCTTATGCCCAAAGTCAAGCAACCAAGCCCTATTCTAGCCTCCAAAGCCGGGTGCATCTCAAAGAAGCGGCTCTCTTGCATCGGAAGATGCACCACACACCGGACAGCGATCATGTCGGCTAAGAGCACCAAGTTACCAAGGAAGCCCTCAGTCCATTCCGGAAGAATGATGGTTTATTCACAGCAGGGACCGAAAGAGCGTGCAACCATGAGCCGAGTCACAGCCACCTGCTCCTTGACAGCCTGGCTCGCATAGCAATGGCGAGAGAGCCTCAATCTATTTCTGACAACAGGAACCGCAAGGGAGCTCAGACCACATGACGACATTCATCCGGGGCACATGAGGTAAAGCAAACCTCCAGGTAATATTCTGGAGCACATGGTCAAACCTCAGTCAAGGAAATATTGATTTACCACCAGGCTTCCAGACAAAGACACTTGCGAACCGAGAAAATGCAACCCAGGGGCACAGGTCCTGTCCTCGCACCGTCTCTATGGACTCTGTGTCGTCTATCCCCTCCGCAAATGCGCTTTGCACGCCCTCCTCGGACAATGGTGTCTTATGATTTCATATACCACTCGCACTTCTACACTGCTGGAACGATGACACGAGAAGCTCAGGTTGGCGCCCTCTCCAGAGCCGTGCTCAACAGCGAGTGTCCGTATTGAAAACAATATAAGAATCTCTCGCGTCTCATGAGCCCACTCGGCTCGTCGTACTCGTAGCCAGCTTGGTATATGTATGGGCATAGCCCTTTGAGTCGGCTGACAAAAGCTGCATCCATTTCGCGAAGCTACGAAACACTGAGCTCTCTCTGCTATCCAATGCCTGGTCTGGCCTCTGCTGGTCATACAATGCCTGCTCTAGCATCTGATGATCTATCAGAGTAATGAACTTGCACACATGAACCTGCATGAATGCTTGGCCCCAAAACTATCGAGGTAGCACGCAAGAATTGTTCCAGCACGATCCCTGAAGCAGCATGGCTTGGGAAACCCTTGAT